CGTCTATGAGCGAAATATTCTTATGTATGACATTAAACCCCATTTCACCTCACCTTCTGTGCAGACACACTGTTAAAACATGGAGATGGCCAGAAGGTTGCAGCATTCTGTTCATCATGCAGTGTTGTCCTATGGCAGCCCTTGAATTATATGTTTGTCCACTATTCTAAGCAAATTTCAAATGAATAGAAGCAATTGAGGACTATAATTCTGAACCAGTTCTTAAGGCTTCAAGTTCACTACAAGTTGGAAAATACTACATGTAATCATAGTAAACATTGTTGTCACATTCAGACATAAATGGTTCAAATCCACATACTGATCCTTCATCAATCCACATCTTAAAAGGGGTTCTCCCCGACATCTTAAAAGGATTCTCCCCCGTCGTGATTCTGCTGGAATATTGTTACAAGCGGCGTAAAACCAAACTCACTCACTTAAAAGGGATTTATGTTGTGAATAGGTCCCAAACCATGGTGGCGTGGTGGGTGAGCTGGCTAAGCCGCCAGGCAAGTAATCCAGCTAGCTTGAGGTGCCGCGATCGAGCCCACCTGTGACCGGGTGTAAAAACCTTGGAGTCAACTTTGCGTGTAGACTCTTTCAGTGTTGTCACAACCCTAGTGTACAATACACAACCCTGTGCACTTCAAAGAACCCATGAATCCGTTGGTATATGACCAGATGGTGGCCACATGAATACGTGCAAACACCTAGTTGCGGGTACAGCAACGTGCAGTAAACTTGAACAAAGTTCTGTGACTATGTGTCCCAGTCCACCCAGCTGTGAATGGGTACATCGTAAGGATGGGAAAGCCACACTAACTCGGTGCGCCTAGTGCCGTTGAGACTGACATCCTATGATCGAGGAAAAAACAAAGCAACTGTGAGCAGCCTAGCTGGAACTTGGCGCTATATAAATAGATTATAATAATATAATAACAAACAAGCTGGGCAGGTTGTAAGTGAAATTCTAGGATCAAGTGGTTGATGTTCTTGTAAACTAACAGCATTTTTGCTCTTAAGTTTGACATAATCAATGATTGACAGGAGGAGAGGTATTGCTGTGTAATCAGTTAAACACCAACAGCACCTTAATCCATGCCAGCGTGGATTTGCCTCTCACAATGCTAAGTCAGGTGACTGGAACTGCCTAAGAGACATTTTATTTTTAACTGTTTACTCAAAATGGTCCACGGTGTTTTGAGCTTACCATTGTATTGAGCTCACCATGTTGTATTGAGCTTACCACGTTGTATTGAGCTTACCGTTGTATTTGTTGAATTGTGCTTCAGGTGTTGAGGATGAAGTGGAATAAATGAACATGAACACTGAAGATGGTCAACCAGAGTTCCACATGCTGCAGTCGTGGGACACCTGTTTGGTGCAATACGTTGTCCCAAAATGGTAACTTACACTTGACACTGAATGTCTTACATTGTGAAAGTCTTTGAAATCTTTTCTTCAAACAATGGAACTATGGAAATAATGCTCATTCTATGTTGTGTAATGAAGAAATCCATGTTCTGCATTATGAACAAATCATTCAGCTTAGTCAAAGTAACAAAGGAAGTGTTATTGTTGAGCTTGTTGAGATAATTTGTTTTGAACCCAATAACTTAAAAAGGTTTGGTTTTTTAAAGAAAATATTATGCGGGCATGTATTCATGGATCAGTTCAGTCAGATGTCAGGTGCTGTTCCACGCTGCTTCCTAGATATGCTTTTACGTTATGTATATCCTGTTGAATCTTAAGCTCAGATTTTGCTTGGAAATTATTGTGGTTTATATTATATGGTTGTTTTTGTCCGGGGCGGTGGGTAGCCAAGTGGTTAAAGTGTTCACTCGTCACGCTGAAGATCTGGGATCGATTCCCCACGAGGGTACAATGTGTGAAACCCATTTCTGGTGTCCCCTGCCGTGATATTGGTGGATGCTGCGTAAAACTAAACTCACCCACTATTTTTGTCCAGGTTCAGTTTTGAATGCGTCAGATTTGATATTAAATTATTTCAGTAGTGCCTCTAGACTTTCACTACTCTTGGACTACTGGAACACTGGCCGAGTCTATCCTTGGATCATGGCTTGCATAGTCAGTGTTTCCGTGAAACAGAGAGAAATCGTTAATTACTGATGCGTTTTCTTGCAGACCGACAAGTATGGAGCTACACAACTACTGGTTACTGAATGATGGACAAGTGTTGTTATGAATGAAGACCGTCTTGCATCTTAAAACATATGAATGAGAACATTTGGTGACTACTGGACATTTGACGTCACTGTATTTCCAACTCGAAAATTCATTTGTGCATTATAAGCTGTCCAACACCTGAAATAAAGTAATACAAAAGAAAAAACATTCTTTATATGTATAAGATGTATGAGAGATGTAAGTTTCACAGGCATTTTTGGTGATAATGAGAACAGCCTCAACTAAGTCTGTTACCTGTGAAGATCCGGATTGAAATTAGTCCTCAACCCATGCTTGTCATGAGAGGTGACTGATGAGGTCGGGTTGTGAGCCTGGCTGACATGATTGACACGTCATTGTAGCCCAATTGTGTAGATTGATGCTCATGATGTTGATCACTGGATTGTCTAGTTCAAACTTGAAGCACAGTTGTTGTGACTTATATGTCTCACAACTATGAGCAAGTATGGTCCATGATCACTGTTACCACCTCATATGTTTGGAATACTATGATAACTTGCCACATATCACTGTAGGTCTGTTAAAGGCACAATGTCACTACACACTTTTCTAACAAATACATAATGCATTTCTCTCAATAATACTATCAGCCCGCAGGGAAGCTACCATATAATTCATTCCAAAGAAAATTACATATTTAAATAACAATATTAAATTAAACAGTTTGAATTAATGAAATGTTGCATTAAATAGACTCTTGGGCCCTCTACTTCACGAACATTATTTTAAGAGAACCCCATAGAGTTATGTCCCTTGGAGCACTCGTACAAATATCCTACACACAACTTATGATTGAAACCAGTTTGGCAAACACTGACAACACCGCATGCGACAGTTTTCGATGTACGGAGCAACCATTTACATTCCATATATGGCAAGTGTTATCTGTTTGGAAGCTGTTTGCCTCCAAGTTTCTATTATCGATTTTAGGCAAGTTGTAAGGGGTAATAAGTCTCTTATTGCATCAATAGGAAGCTAACGCGAGTGCATATGCCCCTAATATATAAAATATAGGCCAAAATATTCGAAAATGCGTGACAATGTGCCTTTAAGTTAGGAAGCAACCCATATTTATCTACAGTGAAGTATGTTCAAACTGGTCAAACCAACAATAAATATATTAACAAAGTATGATGTCATAACAGACATGACGTAACCCAATTAGTCCGTGGACCGCCTCCATGGTGTAGTGGTTAGAGCGTCCGCCTGGTGAGCGGAAGGTCGCGGGTTCGATCCCCAACCGCGTCATACCAAAAGACGTTAAAATATGGTACTTGTTGGTCCCTGCCTGGCGCTCGGCATTAATGGGTACAAAAAGGACTGGTCGGCTCGGCTCGCTCGGCTCGCTTTGGAGTCAGAATAATGTGTCAGTGGGGTATTCATGCTTCACTGCGGCATGATATCTCAGTGGGCTAGCACTATAAAACCAGCTTCAGTCTGGGCTAGTACAAGCAGCCGCACATACACATACACGTCGTCATGTGAGCGAAATATTCTCAAGCACGACGTTAAACCCAATTCCACCACCACCACCATTAGTCTATGGAGTGACATTACAATGGAAAGGCCAGTCTGATTCACAACCTTCAACCATCATATTTGACGATAAACGGGTGAAGGTTAAGTTAGCTCTCATAGCAAGCCTGGATCAATTCTAACTGGTCAGGCTTGCTGAATTCCTTGATGCATGTCATCCTATGATTGATGGTCATATCATTATCAATCACTGGATTGTTTCAGGGTTGATTATTTACAGACCGCTGTCATAACTTGAATATTGCTAAGTGTGGCTTTAAAACAAACAAACAAAATTTAACAAGAAGACAAAGTCATCAATATCCTCCACAATGGCAAAATACTCTGAATATGTCTATTAGTTATGATTATGTCAAATGTTTGTATATAACAAAGTGGAATGAGAGTTTTGAAAGGTTTTTATGTTTTCTGCTACAGAAAGGAGTACTACCACCAAATTCAGTCTACCAAACTTGTTGCCATGGAAACGAAAAATATTTTATTCAGAATTCCAATACTACCAAAAGGTACCAGTACACCAAGAGACCTATCTATGTGCCAAGTTTGGTGAAGAAATATTGAACAGTTTTAAAGTTCTGCTCTGGAAAAGACAAATGTGCATGGATGGACGGAGAGAGTCCATTTTAATACCCCCCAGCAAAACGTTTTTTGAGTGGGATAAAAAATAATGCTGGTAGGCAGCGACATTGTATTTCAATGAACCTCACTCAGATGACAATAGAAATGTGTTCTAGGACCGGACTTTTACAAATTGCTGCAGTTTTCCTGTAGCCCCAGAGGGGTGGTGGGGTAGCTAAGTGGTTAAAGTGTTCACCTGTCACACCGAAGGCCCGGGTTCGATCCCCACATGGGTACAATGTGTGAAGCCCATTTCTGGTGCCCCCTGCCGTGATATTGCTAGAAGATTGCTAAAAGTGTCGTAAAACCATGTTCACTCACTGTAGCCCCAGAAGTGATTAATTTGGAGTACATTGCAATAATTCCCAGGTTGGTGATATCTGCTTAGAATTGATGCATTCAGCATATGTTTGTCACCTCCAGGACTGTCCCTCTTTCCAGAAAGCCTTCCTTTCACTGATGGGATGGTGGGTCAGCCTAGTGGTCAGAACCAAGGCACTGATTCAATTCCGCTCATGGTTACAATGTGTGTAGCCCATTCAATGCCGTGATGAATTATTGCTAAAGTGGTGTAAAACCTTTCTTACTACTCCATTCACTGCTGGCACTATATATGACGTCAACATAATTTAGAAGACTAAATAATAAATGCATTTTATTCCCTATTTTATCACACAATTTCACACAATCTGCCAGACACACATCAACTTGCTTCTGGCTGTAACTCTGTAGCTTTCGGTGTTGATGTGGAACCTTTTAGTGGGCTTTGAAGATGATCTGGCAACCTCTCAAGACGTTCCTGCAAATCAAAGACAAATGTAAGCTGAAAATCCACCTGCAGCTGATGACCTGGTGGTGAGAGTTAATATATAAGTCACTTTGGCAATATTTAAGCCATATTGTCACTTAAACTATTTTCAAATTCACCATAAATACCATTCTCTTCCCACAGAGGTTACTTGTCATATCTTCCTACGAACCTCTGTTCTAATACGGCCATATTTCCTGGTTCTCGTATAATCCCCTAGCGGCAAAAAATTGCAACACGAATTATCTCCCTTCTTTCTATCCAATCAGAACACCTGTTACATTGACTTAGATCCAACTTCACTAATGCATATCCCTCCTCTGCCGGGGGACTTGTGTTGACGTGACACACAAGACATTTAATGGCTAGCTTGTCCGTTGTCAACGTGGGCGATGGAGACGCCATTGATCCGCCATAACAGGATTGAGTTCTAGCTAGAAGAAACGTTTGCGCATCGCACTGGGGAAGAAGTTCTAGTTTGCCCGAAGCATACGGAAATTACCGAGGCCTTGTGAATGATCCCTTTTGAAACAACGTCGCTGATTGCACAACTAAATCTGATTGCACAACTAAATCTGATTGCAACCAATCACGAATCCTGAACAATCGCACCATGAAAGGGCCGTATTAGAACAGAGGTTCGTATGAAGATATGGCAAGTAACCTCTGTGGGAAGAGAATGCATAAATACGTGTAAATTATAAAATATCCTGTCAATGAGGGATAGTAAAAAACAACTAGAATATCAAAGTTATGAAGATAAAACTAGTATGTAAATCTAACTATGTTAGCTGCAGAAGACAATACAATATAAAAACAGGCTTCGATTGTCAACAGCTGAAGGTAGATCACCATACTAGGGTCCATAGGGACTTACAGTACATTTGCTGGATTTACACAATCCCTTCATAAGCTTTTAGCAAGTTTAGACAATCTAGCCATGTATTTAAAATAACACAAATTCGACGATTAAAGATAGTGGTATGTTTAAATGAACTTTAAATGTTTTGGGACTTATGTATCCCCAGACTGGAATGTTGATGGTTGAACTTTGAACACTAATATTTCAGTATACTGTGAAGTGGGACATGTTTGGGACACCCATAGGGACAGACGTGACAATGCACGGATCAGAATCGGGGGATTAAATAAAAATGGACAGATCCTTTGACAAGGGAGGCAACTTTGCACGATTTAGTCTGCACTCGTCTTCACGTTGCAGGCCTCCTCGACTGTGTGCAACATCTGACTATTATTCATTACCCCTTTCATCTTTTGTCATGAATTTATCACAAGTGAAGGATATTTCCTTTAATTTGCTGAAAACTCTCCCCCCGTTTCCCCTCCACAGCTTTGCTTGGGTCCTGACACTGCATGTCCATTAACTTCTCAAATAACATGAAATGAGATTGAAATCGAACAACCAATCAAAATTCCTTAAAAACAAGAGTTTGCCTGAACTACCATTCAAAAGAACTGCTATTGATCCAAAATGATAGTTTAGCTGGCAATGATTGGGACTGTCTGACTGAGTTTCTTTTTACACCGCTTTTAGCAATATTCCAGCAACATCACGGCGGGGACACCAGAAATGGGCTTCACACATTGTACATATGAGGGGATTCGAACCCAGGTCTTTGGCGTGATGAGCCAACGCTTTAACCACTAGGCTACCCCACCACCCCACAATAATTGGGACCAGACGAACAAGGGAGTATTTGTTCCCTCGTGTAGGATGTAACCTTGGAAACAGATGATTTAAGATGACAGTGTGGCTCGTGTCCATAATGATATTACTGGAATTTAAGACTAAGGGACCGTTCATAATTTATGGCTAGGGAGGGTGGTGATGATTTTTATGGAGAAGCATGTACAATGTGAATGGGAAACCCCACCCCAACCCCCCCAAAAAAAATAAAAAAATATTTATGTACAAAATAAGTGACCCCCTTGCATGTCATGAACAAAATCAATGACCCCCTCCCCTTCCATTAATTTCTAAGCATAATTTTAAACATACTTTTATGTACAAAATTGCTGACCCCCCCTAATACATGTGTACAAAATTGCTGACCCCCTAGCTCCCCAGAACAAAATAGGGGAACCAATCCCCCAAAAAAAAAAAATAAATAAATAAATAAATTAATAAAAATAAAATAAAATAAAATAAATAAATCATCATCACCACCCCTAGCCATAAATTATGAATGGTCCCTAATTAGACAACAGTTGTTTTACCACTGTGTCCTTCACATTACGTTGGAAAAGGTCGGTGCACTGAAGGACAAAGGATTGTTTAAATCAGGGATTGTGTAACTGAAACTGGAAAACAACCAGAGTGTGCAATGTTTACCTTGGTAACTTTCATAGCCATTCCTTCAGGAAGGTTCCTCTGTACATATTCAAGAAGAGTGTCAGCAGTGGAGCCAGTCAGCTTTAGAAGCTGTTGAGTTAAACATTGGTCATTTTTATACAACACTTCTAATCAGGACCACTGACATTTCCCTCTTTGGGAATTCTTAGTTAGAATTGATCCCCAGTATTATTTATCCGTTACTAAGCAAGATTAGAATTTCCCCCAACTCACTGCCAGTATTTAGAGTTATCTCCCTTTGACCATAAGAACTTGTCTCTTACACTATAATTATTGCTAACTTCAGCATTACATACTGTTCACTCACTCACAATTAGTGTCAGACTAGAATTTTAAAATTCTTCTTAATCTTTACTGATATTTTGTGAAAAATTATGGGCAGAAACTGGGAAACAGTTTTAACAAGATTCTTTCAAAAATCTTCCCGATTCTTCCAAACATATCTGAATATGCTGAATTCAGTGCAATTATGTAACCTCTTTTTGTTACTATCTTGTATAATCCATTCTGAATGTAATATTTTGATTCTCAAGAAAACACTGAACCTAGTGACCTGCGTCTTGTGTACTAACCTCATACTGTTTGTAGTGAGTCCTTGTTTCATACTGTACTCTGTGTTTCTTGTAGATATGAACAGATTTGAGGAGTGTTAGCCTCTCAATGTCTTTATCAGGAGTGTGTCTGAAGAGAGAATCATTCCAAATGTCAATGAATCTCAACTGTCAGCTATAGCTCTGCAGCATCCTATATATAGAAATATTAGTGAGTGAGTGTGGTTTTACCACATTCTTAGTAATATTCCATCAATGTCACATCAGGGTTTCACACATTTTACTCATGTGAGAAAACAAGCCTGTGTCTTCGACTTGATGAGTGTACAGATTATACAATAGGCCACCCCACTGCCCCTAACAAGTATAAATATGTGAGTGAGAATAGTTTTATGCCACTTTTAGCACTATTCCAGCAATATCACGACGGGGACACCAGAAATGGGCTTTACACATTGCACCTATCTGAGGAATCTAACAGGGTCTTCGGCGTGACGAGCCAACGCTTTAACCACAAGGCTACCCAACTGCCCCAAGTTTAAATAAGGATGAAGGAGCACTATATGAGACAGTGTAACCACTAACTTTTCTGCAAGTATTTTCCATCTCATGACTGTCACCTTTCATATTTTTCATGATATCTAAGTGAGTGAGTGAGTATGGTTTTACGCCACTTTTAGCAATATTCCAGCAATATCACGGCGGGGGACACCAGAAATGGGCTTCACACATTGCACCCATGTGGGGAATCGAACCCGGGTCTTCAGCATGTCGAGTGGACGCTTTAACCATTAGGCTACCCCACCGCCCCCATGATATCTAAGTAAAGAAATCCAAAAGGCGATTGGAAAACATTTAAAAAAATTAATCTCTCATGTTAATAACCTTTGTCCAGTAGTATTTTGGGCTGCGCAATATTTCCTTGTTTCATTTGTGCCAAATATTATTTACATTTTTATTTTATCATGATTAAAAGTTGTTATTAATGCTTAATCAAGCATAGTGATTTTATTGTGTTTTGGCTCTATAAATCAAGCATTAACTCGATTATAAGTATTTTTTTGTTTAAAATACTTTATGCAATATAATGCAGTACATATCGCAATATATGCTTTCGCATCGCAATGTATCGCAATATGAAAATTCTCTGCAATACCCACCCGTAGTAGTAATTAATAAAATCGCCAGCATTTTCAAACTCCAAACAAAATCATCACATCATGAAAAAAGTCCCATTGGTTGGTAGTCACTGTTTGCAACTGCATTTTTGGGTTTGAGACAAATTATCAAATGCACCTAAAAATGCACCTATAAAGTATGATGTAACCATCACTTTGTATACTTACATATCGTGAATGGGAATATCAAGTTCCCGTGCTGTCATCACAAAAAATTTCGTGTAACTTTTGATGATCTCAGGATCATGACCTTTGACCTCAATGATAATTCGCTTGTACAGATCATCAACTTCATCTGTATCCTCAACCTTGAAATATAAATACATCTTAGAATAGTTTAGTATATGTCAGTTTTAGCACCAGCTGGTAATTACAATTACAAAGTTTATACCATTGGTTCATCTAGAAATATACTGGTTTTCGTCAGCAAAAGTTAGGCATTACTGTTGCTTGGTTTCCATATTGGCTTATGCCAAACTTTCACACATTTAAGAGCCTTTTCTCTTTTTGGATGCCCCATCTGTTATGAAATACATTACTTTAATAAGATAAATTTATAACGAGATGAATATACCATTTATTAATTGTAATTCAAAGCATTCAGTATGTTGAAGAAACACTTAATGCTTAAAGCTTTGAAATACAGTAGAACATGGATATAACGAACTCCAAGGGACCAAGAAATTTAGTTGATCGTTATTCATATTTGACCGCCATCTTGGATTGTAGAGATGTAGAGACATGTATATGCTGATTCTTAATAATGGAACTGAGTGGATTTTGGAATGCCAAAGTCGAAAGCGATGTTGGTCTTAGATTTTACACCTCAGTCTACAGCCTGAATTATCTGAAGCTTGGTGTCAAAGGTGATAGCTTTACGTTTGCCTGCCATAGTGACGAGAGTGAACTGAAGACCTGTATACCAGTCAAGCTTTTAAACATGATATGTTTGTTTTGTTAATTCATTAATGACCATCAAACAATGTTGATTTGCCGCCAAGAAGGTTGATGTATACCGCTAAGTGGCTGAGCTGACACTGAGTGAGTTCGCTAATCACGTTGTTAATTGGGTCTTGGGGGTAGAAAATCAGTTTGCTATAGCCGTTAATTTGCTACTCACGAGTTCGTTATTCGCGTATAATTTAATGATATTATAAAGGACCATTGACAGGACTTTTAAATTTATTCGCTATATCTGTTTGTACACTATATCCGTGTTCGCTATATCCATGTTCTACTGTATACCAATAACTACATGCAATGATCATGATAACGATCACATTTTGCACTTCAAGTTGTTATAAACATGAGGCTGCATTTAGCAATTTCTGGTTATACCAGTGCAGGTTCTAAATGCTTAAATCAAGCCCTGACTATTCACCTCTGTTATTTGGGTCGGATTGATGTTCTGGGCATCTGAGCTGAAGTGTTTCACTGATAACGATACATGAGGCAGTCTGCAAGTAAAATAATGACATTATATAAGGCCAAGGTCAGATTATTATATTTTAACCAGAGATTAACTGGGTCTAAGGTTTTGAGTCTATGGAATCACAGCATTAAATTTTTGGATAGGCATGGGATTTTCAGCCTTGCAAAATGTGACATGCTCAACTTGATTCAAGGGCTTTCACTGATGTTGTATTGTTGCACATACTGAGAAACCTGGTGCCCAGTCATGTCAGGTGCTAGCCGAGAGCCATGACGCGGTCCGATACAGTCAGACCGCCTCCGTGGTGTAGTGGTTAGAGCGTCCGTCTGTTCGATCCCCGGCCGTGTCATACCAAAAGACGTTAAAATATGGTGCTTGTTGGTCCCTGCCTGGCACTCGGCATTAATGGGTACATCAAGGACTGGTCGGCTCGAGTCAGTATAATCACATGATAATGTGTCTGAGTGGGGTATTCATGCTTCACTGCGGCATGGTATCTCAGTGGGCTAGCACTATAAAACCAGCTTCAGTCTGGAGTAGTACAAGCAGCCACACATACACATTCATGCACGTCGTCATATGAGCGAAATATTCTCAAGCACGACATTAAACCCAAAATTCACCTCACCTCGCCTATACAGTCAAGATATGACCCTGCATGGTCATGTCTTGACTGTATAGGACCGCATCGTGGCTCTCAGCTAGTGAATTGCCACTTTTCACTGAGCAGATTTGCATTCCTTAGGCATGCCAATTAAGGGATCATTGTCTGCACGGGTAATACAGATGTGTACATGCACCCTTGGTACGTTTCTGTACACAGAAATGTACCCTAAACAAAGTCAAAATACATAAACACACCCTGTCCCCAAAACCAAAAGTGGATCATGTTCCCGTTCGCCTGGTTATGAGTGATACTGTGTATGATCGTTTCTTACATAACGCAATCGAATGCATGTCATACAACAGTATGGCAGTTTGGATCAAGAAAAGGGTGCAGAATGAATATGTCCTTGGGCGCGTATGTTTTTCGAACCTGAGGTATATGTTTGTAGTGCCATGCCGACAACGACCCCTTCAGCCAAAATATCACCATTATTAGGCTTCCTAATGACGTCACGGGATTCCCCGTCTCGCTATGAGCGGGCTTTACAAGTTGGAAAACGGCATAAAAGAAAAGCTGCAATGCGTTGTAAACGTGCACTTATGCCACAAATAAACAATCTTCATAAACAATAATAGCAATACTTAACAGAATTATTACGAAATCAGCTCTGCAATACATGTTAGTAGGATCCAAATGCACAGCGACCATCCCACGCCTCTCCCGACTCGGCTGTGATGGCTGCCGTTTGTGCTGATCGGTCATTCACATCGGCTCCAATTATTATTGCAGGCGGAATTATTCTTATTGACTACATTCATTTTACTTGCACGAAAAAAAGTAATAATTTTTATAACTTCCGAAAAAGTCACTTTATCATCATGTAGCTTAACTTAAGTGTATTTTTAGATTATTTTCTCAATGTTGGGTCGAGTCAAAACTTGCATGGAGACAATCTTGAAGATAAAGGCATTTGAGAAATACAGCGGTAATAAAATATGAAGATCGCACGGAACACTGAATTTTTGGGATGTGTAAATAATAACGGCTTTAATTAATTAACAGAATTCGACGAACCGGAAATGATATGCCCGGTATTACTTTGCACGGGTATAAATAAAGTGTCACCACGAGTCGCACGAGACGAATACACGTTCAACATGTGCTTAAATACCGATGTAGAGCGCCTCATATCCGATCAGCAATTGCATGTATGTATTGCATTGACTTTCAACAATTTATTCATATTTAGTAGTCCAATAAAAACCAGTTCAGATGCATTTTGATACATTATGAAAGTACTGTTATCCTATTTTGGGGGATAGATACGTTCATGTAAACATTGCGCTTCACAGCAGTTTGCGTCGAGGCCGAGTAACAGACAAGTTGTCAAGTTGAAATCGAAAGAGGTGTACGGAAATATTGGGGCTATTATGGTATATGAAATGGAAATTGTTTGTTGCGTTTTGAGGCTTCTATGACCATCCCTGTACTATCTTGAAAACGATACACTTTGTGGCCCTTTACTGAAGTTTCTATTAATATATTTTCTGGAATTCCCCTTTTGAACGTTGTCAATAATATTGCTGTTACAAATACTAATATAGGTACACATAAAATTGTTAATACGAAAATAGAAAAAAATAATATTTTGTATTGTATTTACATATCACATTAAATTGACACAAATCTTTGAGAGATGATCCTGACACAATTGAATGCTTCACTGAACCTCAAAATCCCGACATCGCCAGAAACGTCTTGAAAAATGATGATATATCACATTTGACATGAATGTTTAGTTGTGATGAAAAAATAAAGTGTACTAAGTATTGAAAATACATGTGTTCATGATATATGTTTGTGAAGATAAGAATGTGTACTTACCTTGCTTCCCACTGCGTTAAAAATCAGACAGCTATGGCAAACTGGATGCACAACGACAGGTTTGTATGGTATTGTGCTACTTAAAGCAACTCTATGTTTACAGGGTGTATACCTATATATTTCATGCTTTGAATGTGATTGTATAAATGATTGCTTCTATGCATAAATACGTCACAGACCTTAGTATGGGTGTGAAATGACATGTGGAGAGTGAGAGTGTGTGTGAGAGAGAGTGTGTGTGTGTGTGTGTGTGTGAGAGAGAGAGAGAGGGGGAGAAAGAAAGAGAGAGAGAGGACGAGCACTATTTTGTGATTACACCCAATATATAACTTGAGATTTGGTCTTCAGCAACACATGGGTGTTTGTCGTAAGAGGTAACTAACATAATAAAGTAGTCAGGTTCGCTCAGTTGGTTGTTACATGTCATCAAATCCACATTGCGTAGTACTTACGATGTCAGTCACTGGTTTGACTGATCCCAACAAAATTATTTGTAGCCCCTTTCATATGGCTTCAATATTGCTGGGTGTAGTGTGAAACGACAAACATATTTAATGGGTTGGAAGGATTCGATGAAACACGGGCATGTGTAAAGCTGAATGTATGATAACTCCTCTTCAAATTCATCTTCTTTCTCTTGTAAAATATGTTGTAATGTTATGTAGCAGGTTACATAGAATGCATGTATGGTATACTGCCATAAAATATGTAGCAACAGAAAACTGAACACAAAACATTTAACCTTAACACTGTACATGCATTTTCTGTTATTACTTTTCCAAAGTTGAAAAACTACAAATTAATGAAAACTTTTAGTTTATGATAATTAAGGAAATTAGTACATAAACATACTGGTAACTGGTTTAGATAGAGAATTCACAAATATATGGGGCCATGGTAACATCATGTTATCTGTTTGGTAAATACATATTTATACTATACTGAGATGGCATGATTTAAAGTCTTACATTATCTGCTTTTTTTGTTGCAAACAATGAGTTTATATTCCATTCTTTTGAGGTGGATAAGGAATGATTGCAATAACATAAGTTGTCCAGAAAGTAAGGGGATGTAACTCTAAATACTATTCTTCTGAGCTCACTGTGTAATGATGACCAAGTCATTAATTAATTGTTGTAAAGAAATATCATGTGTTAGTGAAGCAGACGACCCTCAGCTCCATGCAGTGGTGGACCATGGACTTGTTTGGGCAGAGTTTGGTGGTTTTTATTCTCCCTTAAACAGTACTTTAACATTCTACAAACACATTCTCATTGTGTATTGAGGTGACAATACATTTCAAGAAAACATAGGTTGTATTATTTTGGAACTTAGATCTCGCTTTGTCTAATTTTATGTGAGTGAATAAACCAACTAGAACAGGCAGATAAAAGAGTTACCTCCCTTCACGCAGATAACAAGTTAATTCTCAACACCTTTCAAAGTCATTTTTAACGCAATGCATGTGTATTTTGATACATTTTTTTACATAAAACATTTTTATAATGTTAGATCTACTACAGGTTCTCAGATTATTCATCAGCAAGCAACATTACACATTCGTCTAGGATCCCTACCATTATACTAGCTAGCGACAAAATCCAAACCAGATGGAGATAATCTTAGCGCATATTTCCATGTTTTCATTACACAGCACGTTGACAGTACCTTATACTCCAAACACAATGTTGACGGTTGATCTGCGTGACTCTCTTTGCACACTGAGTACATACACTCGGTAAAATCTGAAACCAAAATACAGTCAACTTATGCGTGCGTCAAGACAAGATAACGAAATGATCTTGTTAACATTAAGAATTATACCGCCTTTATATTGACTGTTACGGGAATAACGACGTACTTACGCGATTATTTAAATATTTAGCCAGTACTGTCGCCCTTCCCACGGCTCTGGTAGCCATTTTGTTTTGAAAGCATGAGTTGCTGCGAATGTGTTATGAGAATAAAAGTGAAAATTTAAATTTTATTATGAAGGGAATTTGCACATTACGAAATTTCCAGCCAACTGCAAAAAATAAACGGTGAAATATGAGAATCAAAAGAAATTTCATCGCCGTTTCTGCAGGACTAGAGCGTCTCTAAAATGACCCGCAGACCTTGTTGCTAAGCTACTCGACACACAGCGATGGCGGTAGGTGGACGTGTTGACTTCGGCTCTCTCTTTTCACCCTTTAACGTGTTGTTACTTATGAATATTTGTCATTTTATGTCACTGTATAAATGTAACCTGTTTTCATTCTTAATTGCTCTTGAAAACAATTGTTTTCTGTTGATATTTAGGTCTAAGGTGATACACGATTCCTACTCGGCATTGAACATTCTGTTAGTATCTCTTCAAAACAATTGACTTTATGGTGCATACATATTTTTAAACTGTTATTGTACAGTCTTTATGAACCCTGCGATATGCTATACTATTTTCAATGTTCCCTCTTAGTCTTACATAGTCAGCATAGCCAATCATTACAAACCAATAATTTCATAATAAATAATTTACAACAAAAGTGAAGAAATAGTTAATGGTTCGAATCCGACGATTGTTGCATGGCGTGGTTACAGGTGGACGGCCACTTTGGGACGGTCTGCAACAACAGCGTTTTGTTAACAACGTCTCCATAAGCAGCATATTGTGCACACTAAATTGCTGTCCATCATTGTGCTGGGGTGTTCTGGTTTCAATCATTCCAATGGCTCGCCATTTTTCATTTTCAGTTAGTCGTGGCATAGAGAAATGCTAGCAGATTCTCCCAAATTTGTTTTTTTCTGCCCGTCGACATCTATGATTTATGTCACAATGATCCGAGGCTTAGAGCCACACTTTAGGGCACGTTTTTTGCCTTTTTTCCACAGACTTCTTGAAAGCACGAAACACATGCAAAACAAAAACTACCGACAGGGCCCTGTTTGTGTTATGGGTTAAGTGTATTGTAAAGAATATTATAATGCAAGTGTGTTGATCTCACCAAATTTTGCCTTTGAGTATATGTGAGTGTTGACTATGGTCCTGCCTGGTGTCGATATATTCAATACTTATCATGCTTTGGTAAATAACAGAAGTGAAAAAGATTATCATGAATGATGAATTGAATTCATGAAGGTTCAATTCACTGAATACGTGGCAGCACCAGTAATGATGTGTATTTCTTTGTTCAGGCAAAAGGCACAACAATCAAGGAGGCACTTGCTAAATGGGTAAGTAGAACTATTGCATTTCATTGCTTCAACAAGATGCTTGACTGGCATTTTAGAAGATGCTATTTGATGAACATAGAGATTGTTCTGGGTTACATCTTCGTAAAAAAAGTAACTGTTCAGTTTTACCTGATGATGGGGTCAGAACAAGCCCTGAAACGTGTACTCAAGAATAAAAAGAAGATGTAACCCTGAAAAATCTCTGTCCTTCAATCCAACTGTTGTATAAATTTGTCTGGTTATGACTGTAAGTTATTTCTGCAGCATATTAAACATAAAGATATCTGAGTTTAAGAAGGTTTAATGAAACATTATCTAAGCTATGTCAAAGCCAATCAAAGATTCCCCTTGCTTTATATTCAATTGCAGTATTTACAAATAACATGATTTTTGTTCAAATGTGGCATTCTGCTGCAATATCTTTTTTCAAATACCTTAATGGTCATTTTAGACTTTTCATCATCAGTACATATCCTTATGGTTATAAAATTTTGTTGTTGATTATATCAGGAGGAGAAAAATGCGCAAAAGGCCTCAGAGTCAGAGGAGGTGAAGCTAATTGGACAGCTGCCCCCCATTGAGAAGATGGATGCCTCTCTGTCTACCCTTACCTGTTGTTCGTGAGTAAAATCAGTTTGCAGAATAGCTGCATCGAACTATGCAGTTCGGATAAGATGGCATGCATGCATGTGTGTCCACTCAGTTCTGGTGGTCACATCTTATGATTGGTTGGTTGATTTGTTGTTTTACGCTGCAGTCAGCAATATTCCAGCTATATGGCAGCAGCCTGTAAGTTATCGAGTCTGGACCAGACAATCCAGTGATCAATATCATTAGCATCGATCTACGCAATTGGGATAGGATCACATGTCACCCAGTCATGTATGGCTCATTTCCTGAAAACAATCATTTTTGGTCACAATGCCACTGTACAGTCATTGGATTATTTGGGAAAGGTTCCAAATAAATATGAATTCAATGGAGTCTGAGTATATCCATGAAGTCTGGGGAACAAAAAAGTGGACCTCCACCCCATATGTTACCAGTTACCTGGGGTAGACTAATGGTCAAAGCATTCGCTCGCCACAGCGAAGACCCGGGTTTGATTCCCCACATGGCGACAATATATGATGCCCATTTCTGGTGTCCCATGCCGTGATATTGCTGGAATATTGCTTGCTCGCTCACTCACTCAAACACTCACTTAGGCATTGCTGGTAATATAATGCAGTTATATTACAGAACCATGGAAATAAATGCTACTTTCTATCAGTATGGTAATAATTCATAAACCTATGACAAAGCAGATTGTGTAGATTCTCTTGCTGTTGATCACTGGACTTTCTGGTCCAGACTTGATTATTTGCAGATTGCCACAAGATAGCTGGAATAGTGCTGAGGGTGGCGCCAAACTAAACTCACTCACTCATAAAGCCAGCAACTGAAAGGGCTTTTGTAATATTCTTACATGTTCATAACCATTAAGGAATCAATCACTATAGCAGAAAAAGAGCATCTTTTTCAGTTCATTTGAAGATGAACATGTTTTCTCACCAGAAGGGGTGGGTGGTGTGCTTAAAGCGTTCGCTTGTCACGCCGAAGACTCGGGTTCGATTCCCCACATGGTAACAATGTGTGAAGCCCATTTCTGGCACCCACCGTGATATTGCTGGAATATTGCTAAAAGAAGTGCAAAACCATACTCACTCACTGACTCGCTCACTCTGACCAGGACCTTTTATATTTTTCAGGAAACTCAGCCTATCCACGAATTGTATTGAGAAGATTGCAAATCTTAATGGACTGAGTAAGTTAACATTGACCTTTGTGATATCGCTGGAATATTTCTCACTGAAGTTTAAAGCAACAAACAATAATATAAAAAGCAAAAAAAAAAAAATGGATCCTATTTGAGCTCTGGTATGCCGTGTTTTGGATGGGTACACTTAATTGAAATACGACCTGATCGCTCCTACATATTCTGAACAGTCTATATTTCCATTTCAGAACACCTGAAAATTTTATCACTTGGAAGAAATAGCATCAAAAGCTTGACAGGTTTGGTGTGTATCTTTATGTTTAATGGCTGTTGTTGCTTCTTGCTAAATTGTTCACATGTCTTCTCTCCCGAACTTGTATTTAGGCATTATTTTTATTAGGTTATTGTTATTATTATTATTATTATTATAGGATATTTATATAGTGCACATATCCAGGCAACTAGTGCATGCTCAAGGTGCTGGTATTTGTTCCCTCGATCATTGGATGTCAATCTCAACTTCACATCATATTATCAATCTCAACTCCCTGGGGAGTATACAACTCTTATTGTGGCTTCTCATCCTAACAAGGTACCCATTCACAGCTTGGTGTACTGGGACACATAGTCACAGTACGTTGTCCAAGTTCACTGCGCGTTGTTGTAATATGTGGACTAGTACAAGCTGAACTTTAAACACTAGACTCGAAGAAAGTTTACTAGAATAGGCTACAGACTAGTGGCTTAATTATGAGTGTTGAGTTTTGTTTGAAACTTTTTAAGCATTATTGTATAATGAATGTGTTTGGCCTTCCCGAAGAATGACATTCTGATTGAATCTCCAAGGAATGCTCAACACTGCTTTTTTCCCCACTGTCTGTTCATCCTTTTGCATGGTCTGTGCATGTGTCCACTATCTGTTCATCCCTGTCATCTATTTGTTTATCACTGTCTACTGTATGTGCATCCCTGTTCACTATCTGTTTATCACTGTCCACTATTTGTTCATCCCTGTCCACTATACGTGCATCCCTGTCTACTATCTGTTTTTCACTGTCCACTATCTGTGCATCCCTGCCCACTATTTGTTCATCCCTGTCCACTATACGTGCATCCCTGTCTACTATCTGTTTTTCACTGTCCACTATCTGTGCATCCCTGCCCACTATCTTTGTCCACTATCTTTGCATCCCTGTCCACTATCTTTGCATCCCTGTTCACTATCTGTTTTTCACTGTCCACTATCTTTGCATCCCTGTTCACTATCTGTTTTTCACTGTCCACTATCTGTGCATCCCTGTCCACTATCTTTGCATCCCTGTTCACTATCTGTTTATCACTGTCCACTATCTTTGCATCCCTGTCCACTATCTTTGCATCCCTGTCCACTATCTTTGCATCCCTGTTCACTATCTGTTTTTCACTGTCCACTATTTGTTCATCCCTGTCCACAATACGTGCATCCCTGTCTACTATCTGTTTTTCACTGTCCACTATCTGTGCATCCCTGTTCACTATACGTGCATCCCTGTCTACAATTATTTTCACTGTCCACTATCTGTGCATCCCTGTCCACTATATGTGCATCCCTGTCTACAATTATTTTCACTGTCCACTATCTGTGCATCCCTGGCCACTATATGTGCATCCCTGTCTACTATCTGTTTATACCTGTCCACGATCTATGTCGACAGAAAAGCATATTGACCCCAACCCAGGTCCGAAAAAATGTCATATTGATATGAGTTACTAAAATAGATTTTCACGTCAAGCTATGCCGTCATTCTATTGTTTACCTCGGTCAATATTGCTTTTCGCAGGTTCATAAAAACAGGTATTGACCTAATCACCAGTCTATAATTGTATAATCTCTGTGCACTATATGTGCAACCCTGTTGACTGAGTAAAATCATTCTTACTTGCCACCAACAGGAAGCTGTGGGAGACACGCTTCAAGAACTCTGGATATCCTACAATCTCATTGAGAAACTCAAAGGCATCAACGTTTTGAAAAAATTAAAGGTCAGTAAAGCACCCGGTCCACCCATTATTAGGCATTCATCTATACCTGATTAAATGTTTTTGGCATGTAACTTAGCTATGTTACTGATTTGATTTCTCAGCTGACCAGTTCGTTAAATGTATCGAAAGAATACCTTCCTTGACATCAAGGGTGTTGGGCATGACCTTATTAATTCTCAAGGCTGTTCAGTTGAATATCATTATATTATGTTATATGGGCATTTATATAGCGCTAAACTCCATCCCATCTACATGCATGCGCAAAGTGCTTTGTTTCCCTTGATCATTGGATGTCAATCTCAACGGCACATCATATTTTCAATCTCACCTCCCTGGGGATCATACGACTCGTGCAGCCACTAGGCGTAGCAAGTTAATGTAGCTTTCCCATCCTAACGAGGTACCCATTCACAGCTGAGTGGACTGGGACACATAGTCACAGTACTTTGTCCATGTTTACTGCACGTTGCTGTACCCGCAACTAGGTGTTTGCATGTATTCATGTGGCCACCATCTGGTCATTTACCAACAGATTTGTGGGTTCTTTTAAGTGTTGTGTACTGTACACTAAGGGTTGTAACAACACTGAAAGTGTCTGCACACAAGGTTGACTCCAAGGTTTTTACACTGGGTAACAGGTGGGCTCGATCCCGGCACCTTAAACTCGCTAGATCACTAGCCTGGCGTCTAAGACAGCTCTCCCACCATATCATAATAAGAAAGTCAGTGTAATCTCCACCCAAACTCCTGTTTTAGGAAGATGATGGTCAGAGAAATAACCAACTGATTTGTTGTGTCCTCATGACACTGGTAATTGTTTTGTTGTGTCCTCATGACAGTGGTAATTGTTTTGATGTGTCCTTAGTGACACTGGTATTTGTTTTGTTGTGTCCTCATGACATTGGTATTTGTTTTGTTGTGTCCTCATGACACTGGTAATTGTTTTGTTGTGTCCTCATGACACTATTATTGTTTCCTTAACAAATCCTTGTGATTTCAGGTTTTGTATCTCTCAAACAATCAGGTGAAAGATTGGGGTGAATTTGGCAAATTGGTAAGTATGAATAATGTTTGAGTGTTTTCAAAGGCAGTTGGTAGAATTAAACGTGTTCATTGATGATCTGGTGTCAGTCTTTTCTCACGTGGATTATTTAGGAGATGCATATGCTGTGTAAAGCTAGGTTACCTGTATTTTTCCCAGCTCTACATCAGAAACACAGCATGTGCATCTCCTAAATAATCCAGGTGGAAAAAATTAGAAAGAAGGAAAAAAATGGGTTACCTGTAGATTTAAACCTGTGAAGATCCTGCTTAGAATTGATCTTCAGTAACCCTTGCTTGTCATAAGAGGCGACTAACAGGGTCGGGTGGTCAGGCTTGTTGACTTGGTTGGAACATTTCATTGTAGCCCAATTGTGTAGATTGATGCTCATGCTGTTGATCACTGGATTGTCTGGTCCAGACTCCATTATTTACAGATTGCTACCATATAACTGGAATATTGCTGAGAGCTGCGTAAAACTAAACTGACACTCACCTTTTGATTTTGCCACTCTAAAACTCTGAATTTGGAGCTGACTCTGTTGAACTCAGTAGACTCTGTATAGATAATTGATTTGAATTACAGAATCACTGACAACTGCCTTGAAATGAATTATGATGCTGTATCAGATCAAGACATTCTTCATGTCAAAATCCCTTGACACATGGCTGACATTGAAACCAAGTTGCATGTTTATAGTGATGCAAAAAATGTTATGTTGTAATTAGAAAAAAAATAAAAAAAATTTTTTTTGACTCACCGTAATAAACTTGAAATAATTCTCTTTGAGGATTTTGTATCATATTATCAGTACAAAATGCATTGTCATTCACATTTTGAAAATTGTAGGGACCACAACAACATTTTGTAACTGATAATTGTATACTTCATTATAATTTTTCCTCAATGTATCCAAAGAAATGCAAATGAATCACAGAGTAACAGCATGTTGAAAAAGACTTTGTAAACAGATAGTGGACAGAGGACCACTGCACATATAATAATGAACAAGGAGTAAGATGCTTTGAAGAATATGATGGCAACAGTATCACCCTGAGGAGTTGCGCTGTTGCTGGAATTTAAAGAAGTTTGGTTTGGTTTGGTTTTGAGTATATAATTAAGAAGCTATGATTCTGTGAGGAAGTTCATCATATTCTACTGATTTCAGAGTGACCTCCCTTGTCTCGAGGATCTTTTGATGGTTGGTGAGTAAAACTCTTTATTTGCCCAGGGCCCAACAAACATGGGGCTAGTAGACAGATGCTGGTAAAATTTGATCATTGCCACTATATATACACCTGTGCATTAATTAAGCACCACCCTAATTTGAAAATAAGATGTGTTGCTACAGAAAAGTTAGGGTATAGCCATCAATTTAATCAACCTATAGTTAAAGAAGCTTTATTCATTGACAGTTTTACAAATACCATAACCTTTTCTATTCTTTATGAAAGAATATGTTGATGAAAATGTGATGGGACTGAATTTTTACCCAAAATAACTATTCCTCTCCAGTGAGTGCTCAAACTACACACTTAAATTAAGTTTTGACAAAAAAATATTTTGTTATATATCAAGATGACATTTACACATCAAGAAAGCTTTGACTATGCATAATCAGGAAGAACACCGAATGTCAAAGATTCACACCTTTTTCCAACAATTCAGATTGAGAATTGACAAAAACTGAAAAAGGCCACATTAATAAGATTTTGGAATAAATCTTTTATGATTTTGAGTTTATTGTATTGAATAAACACTAAACACTTCTTGCCAAATACTGATAATTACTGCTAGAATCTGTTTGTTTTGTTTGTAAATTTTTTTACTGCATTTTAAAATTTTACTTTTTTTTAGTTTGAGTGTAACTTTTCCTAAATCTTAGTTTACAAACGTTCATCCATTCACAATAAATGATGAATTTATAGGCCACATAACAATCAATGATTACTTTCACTTTTCAAAACAAGGTAACTTGTTTTAGAACAGAAAAATACCTGTTATCCTAATTAAAGTACATGGTAATTTCAATGATGTTTTCTTTTTTGAAATGTCAAATGCTAATACTCTATCAAATTAAAAGGTTATTTTTGGGAAGAGTTTAGAATTTCATTTCAGACAGAATTAGTTTGTAAAAATACAGGGTGGTGCTTATTTTATGCATGGATGTATACATCAAATGTCACGCAAGAGAAGTGCTTCTAGTTCTTTGAGTGGTGTTTACAAGCTGGAATGATGAACAGGAACGAATTTTTATGGGTTTGACAACCCAATGGATGCAAAGTTTTGGTATTGTATCCTTTGTAGTAAAGAAGTAGTCTACCCATAGAAAATCGTTCCTTTTCAAGATTAGTGCTATAAATTGTGAATGTAATGACTTTACAAATTTACTGGCAAAAACTCATAATTGACCAGCCAATAATTTGTGGCAATTAAAGTTCATTTGAGTACAGATGAGAACTATGAATTGCATATTGATTCTAAATTGTGAATAATCTATTAAATGTCAATATTGAACACAGCTATGAATACCTTGTACTGTACAATATCTGGTATTATTTTTTTTTATACCCATCACTGAAAAATCTGTTTAAGAAACTATCGTGTTATGTGTACATACTACAAGCTGACGGACACAAACAGGTCTTTTGAAATATCTGAAAATAATACACAATCCTTCAACAATGCAAATGGGAGGTTGGGTAGATGGGTGTTTATACCATTTAGTCATCATGCCCAGGGCTGTGGTTCTACAAGTTTAAACTTGAGAGTATTTTTCATTTTAGGTAATCCCCTGGAAGAGAAACATTCTTCTGAAGGAGATTGGAGGGATCTGGCATCAAAGAAGCTGCCCAAACTGAAGAAACTTGATGGTGAGTATCCCTTGATCTACAAATAGGTCAGCAAAAAGTAATCTGGTCACTGGTAACCTCGATAATCTCCAGGGTATACATTCCAATACATTTCTACTAGTACCCTGGATGCATCTACTGCTCAGCACGATCATTTTATTACCTCCCTTTACTGGCTCCGCCTTCTCACAGTAGCCATTCTGATAAGCCATTACAACTTTACCAGTGTCAACGAAGATGGCGGCCACAGCCATGAAAGTTTGATCGTTGTGCGATTCAGACTTTGGGAAAAGATCATGCAGACAAATTGACAGGTCTGAAACCTTCCAAAAATATATGCAAGAACTCCTTCTACCTGTTGACATTACTGTTTACCGATGAAGCGGAAGTGATTTATGATAGAAACGTTGTGATTGGTACGCTTAACTTCCCAGCATAGACACCTGATTGGATGCAAAGCAAGCAAAGGGAGGTAATAAAATTATCGGGCCGAGCCGTAGATGCACCACGGGTACTAGTGGAGATTTATCGAAACGTATTCCCATAGAGGATGCTGGTAACCCAGTCTCTTGGATTGGGCGAGCTATCGATATAGAATCATAGAGATTGATAATTGTTAGCTAAATATTGATAAATATTGAAGGCGTAACTTTGCCAAAAAAAAAATGCCAAAAATATCTGAAAGAAATGACTATATTTCACATCACTTGTAAGTGGTGACAAGTTTTTGCAGGGATTATTAACAAAACAGTGTCCTGAACATAGTTTAGAAGCAGACAATAAATAAAGTCCTAAAACATTGCATATTGTATGAGAAAATCAAAACTTTTTTCTGCCACAAAGGTTAATGTATGATATTATCGATAACCACAATTTTTATATTGATAATCATTAATAATTATTCTTATCGACAGTATTTCCAATTATCAATCATTTTAGCCAGACCTACTCTAGCACAGAATGGGCTGTGTAGATTCGCTTCCAGAGATTTGCTGCGGTACTCATAATTCCTGTACTTTGCCAGTCTTAGTGCAGTATCTGCTGTGAGAAACTGGTGATCATATCCCAATTGCACAGATCGATGCTTATGCTGTTGATCACTGGATTGTCTAGTTCAGACTTGATTAGTTGCAGATCGCCGCCATATAGCTGGAATATTGCTGAGTGCGGCGTAAAACTAAACTCACTCGCTCACTGACTCACAGCAAATTTTGCTGTTCATTAGAGGAAATTTAGTGGAGCAGGTGGTAGGGCTTTGTGACAATATCAATATTTAGAGGTTGTCATTTTTTAGCTTGAGTGCATTATTAAAAATTACACATGTTCAGGCCCTCTCGAAGGGTGTAAACAACCTTGTGAGTACACTGTGCCCCCAAAAAATATTTATCTTTCCCTGTTGAAATCATTGTTGTGTTATGAAACCAATATCGTGATTTTCTCTCAGTCATACCATGTTTGGATTATTTCCCTTTGATAACTGTTTCTAACTGGAGCCACATCAACATGTATATTTGATTACTCATTACAAATGTTTGCAATGCTTTGAACACAATGTTTTCTTATGTCATATAAAAATACCAACACCTATTCCTCCTCAGGTATACCTAAAAGGGCAGACCATTTTATTTTTCTTGTATTAATTATTTGTATTTTTCATTTCTAGTTTGAAAAAAGGAAAATTTCCAAAAGGGAAACATAATAAAAACTGTTTGAAATAAATGTTGTTTTAAACAGCAGATACAAAATACAAGAAATATAGCTATTTTTAAACTTATTTGAAATGTATAGGTGACTTGTCTGTAATACAATTATACATTGGCTCGGTGTGACCTGTGAAGATCCGGGTTTGAATATGTCTTCTGCAACCCATGCTTGTCGTAAGAGGCGACTAACAGGATCAGGTGGTCAGGCTCGAGGTCTTAGTTGACACATGTCATCGTTTCCAATTTGCGTAGATTGATGCTCATGCTGTTAATCACTGGATTGTCTGGTCCAGCAGGGGTTCAAAAATCCAATCGCCCGACGCCCAGGACAAGTCAGTTTTCATTTCGGGCAATCAAATAATGGTATCTTACTTGTCCGTGGGCTACTAGATAATTTCCACTTATGGTTTCAAACCGCAAACAAACTTGGATTTAATTTCATATCTGCTCAAAATGTAGCTATTAAATTTCGCAATGACAATAAAGTAGAGTTATCTTTCTTTATTTATCCCTTTTCAATTAATAGTCCAGTAAACATTAACATCAAATACCATGTTGATTTCTTCTTTCATAATTACATCATCATAATTATGTCATAAAATTAGTCAGGACAAGTTACTTTCTTTAAGTCACCTGCCCTGTGGCAAGTGGCTTTTCAAAAAAAAAATTGAACCCCTGTCCAGACTCGGTTATTTACAGACCACCACCATATAGCTGGAATATTGTTGAGTGCGGCGTTAATCAACAAACCAACCAACCAACATTGGCTCTGATATTTAATGGTGTATCTGAAATATTTGCCACTAGAACTACATTTGGGACCATCTGTTCGTAGGTGTTCCTGTGATCCGGGACGAAGAAGGGGGAGAAGACGAGGGCTGAATAAAACCTGTGTCACTACCACCTCAAAATGCCCCAGCTACAACACTGTGATTGATGCTCAATATTTTGTCCAAGATTTCACTCCTGAAATTCAGATATTAAGATACTGTCATGTCCAGATGGTAAAACGTCATTCATTTGGCAAAGAAGAGTCACGTCCATAAATGTATTTTTTAAATTTTCAATCAATTAATTATGTTCTGTTGCATTGCTTACTGACAGCTAACTATGTGCAACCAAGCAGCTTAAGGCAACATAAAGTCATATTATGTCAACATCCTCTGCAAATTACTTAATGCTTTGACTGAATTATTGCTCCTCAATGCATACATAGTCATGTATTATGTTCAGCTTTTACCAGTATTGTACATTTCGTGTGCCAACATTCGAGACTCTTCACAAACAGGTTGAGAATAAAACTTCTAATATGCCATGCACCTCAGAGCAATATCTGTAGGGAGAATCTGACTGAGACATTTTAACCTGAGGGTTCCATTGGCCTTAATTTTTATTCAGTACAGGACATTGTAAATATCATATTTCTGTTAATTTATATCAATATATGTCCTTTAAGGCCTGTGTTGTGTTAAATAATTTTCACTTTATTCAATCCCTTATTTGACACTGGATACTTGGTTTCAAGTCAAATGAGGGATGTAATTGTGGTGGAATGGGGAACATTCTTGGAGTTGTGCCCTCTTGTTTGTTTGGAGCGCTGCGGTAGTTGGGTATTTCCATCTATTTTTAACTACTTTGGTATTGATAAAATTGAGCCTTTTAAGTTGTCTCATCATTGTCATTCAGAACTTTGCTATCCATGTTAAAAGACCTGATGGAATGTATGTGTAACTAAACATGTATATTTAAACCCTGTCATACTCTTCCAGGATGTATGTTATTTCACAGTTCCATCCTAATAAATCATTTTATGTTCTTTGGATTTGGCTCTTCGATTGATGTTTTTTATTCCCGTACAGGGCCACTGGCCTATTACACAGGTGCAGAGCATGATAACAACTGTTTGACAGGAGCGCTGAAAACAAACATGACTAAATTATACATCATATCACAGTATATGGCAAGACAATGCAATGTATACACGACGTGACTAAACAACTGTTTTTTCTTTGAAAAAGGAATTACGATTTTTTCAAAGCGAGAAATACGTATTTTGCAAGTTTATTATAGACATTAAGTTTGTTATTTAAAAATAGTGAAAACATTTTGCTAAGAGTTGTCAATATGTAGTAATATTGTGGGATAAGACTGGAGCGCAAATCTGAATAAAATGGATCGTTTACTTTGACTTCTGACAAGGTGTCAGAGATGGAATGAACCTTTTCATGAAGTTAACAATTGTTAATGCTAGACAGAACGATGGTTTTGTGGGTGGCTCAGTAATGGTGTGAGGTGGGATCATTGTGACTGGCAAAACAGGGTAATATGATATTCCCTTACGTGTCACTGGACAGCACTATCATGACAACATTCTTGAGGCACAGGTGGTGCCATTTGCTCGCTGATATGGACCTTCTTTTGTGTTTCTGGTTCACAATGTAAGAGCACACAGGGCTCGTATTGTTACTGAGTACATGTACCCCCAACAGGAGAATAAAACCATCTGATGATGGCCAATACTCAGTCCAGGCACATCAACCATCGACCATACATGGGATATCCATGGATGACTCGTACGTCACCGCCAACAACCACAGACCACTCTCAAAGAACGTGGCATTGCCGTGAGGGAAGAATGGAATGGAATTGGAAAGTGTTTCACATCTATGTTGTTCCACCATATGTCGCAGGTACCAAGATTGACCTTGTTGTAGGGAATGAACGCGAGATAACACTGTCAAGGATATTGGTGCTGACCTCTATGTGGAGTGGCTGTATGGAATCTTCTCGGATTCGAGGCACCTGGGGCAACTAGACAGGGGACAACCTCACCATCGTGTCCACATCGACATCACCGAACGGTGGCATCATAATGTGCATTCACCAGTGTTTGCAATACTTTAATTTGCCAGTTGGCCATCAGGGCCGGCTGCCACCCGCAGGGTTTAAAATCTTCAGATAAGATAATTCAGACAGATAATTTACTGAAGGTCACAAGGGCCTGCAAATATTGGAAACTGCCGGCCCGATACAATAACAACCGGCGCTGGGCCTTCAGGCCGGCGAGTATTTTGAACGCTGCCATTTACTGGTATCATGTCATACCAGAATGTATAACTTTGAAAGTATGGTCAAACGGTCAGTCAGCGAAATGATGCTAAAAGGAAAACATGAAAGTTGTATGATTTCACAAATAATATTTCCTTACAGCTGTGATACTGCTTGTATCCTAAGTGCTTTAACAAGATAATGAAGGGTCAAGCTATTGTTAAAACTATTTCTTAAAATTATATAAATATAAAAATATGTACAACTGAATGTTTTACAAACTTTCTTAACTGTATGGAAAAACACATCGAGCCGTTGAAATGTCATTATTACGTTCTTTAACGTCCGATACATTCTGTTACAAGTGGCACATTTTTTATTCAAATTGTCAATAGGAAATCCACCTGCCGCTTAATGTCAATGATTTGCATGTGCAAGTCGCTCTATCCATGGGAAGTGGAGGACAATAGACATGCATTGATGCTTTGTTTCTGTTGTTCACTGTTCAGGTACCTGTTTGAAATCCCAGCTTATAATGACACTTGCTGAAAGGGGTCAGGCTATAGGCTTTTTGGAATCTGGTCAAACTCAGCGGCAGGTTGCTGTCCGCTTTAGTATGAGTCAGAGCGCTATTGGTAGACTGTGGCAGAGATTTCAAGCCAATGGCTCCGTGGAATGTGCACGTCGACCAGGTCGCCCCAGAGTCACAACAGTCCGAGATGATAGGCACATGATTAACACTGCATTACGTAACAGATTCTTAACGCAGCCGATCTTAAAGGTCACATGCAACGCAAAACACAACTTTGCAGATTCTGATACCTTTCGGTATGGACGTACCGAAACAAATCATCAAAAATGCAAATTCAAGTTATAAAGTTGAAAAATAACGCGATGAAAAAAACCGCGCGAAATCGGAGTTCAAACGATTCACTAATTTTCACCTTCCCCCGAAAAAAGCTGGGCTGCGCTCATAGCATGTGCGCAGTGAAATAGGTTCGCGCAAGTTGGAAAGCGGGCTGTCTGGTGAATACTCGGTGAAGGCTTTGGTGTGAGCTATTTTCATAATGTTTTGTAGATATCTAACAGGCGCGAGCTTTTTATATGTTATGACAGTAAATAAACTGTTTATATAATTTCATTTGTCTATTTCACCACACGCTCTTCTTACCTAGTCACTTTCTCAGTTCCATACTTAAAAGCAATGTCATTATTTAGCGTTGACAGAATTTCTAACTGTGATATATATATATGTCGTTGTCACAGACAAAACTCAATGTCTTGTTTTATTGACACCTGTGTGTCTGCTTGCCTGTCTGCTAATGATAATATTCAATACACAACTGCGATCACTGACCACATGCAATTTGAACTTAACACCAATCAGGCTATACACCATAAACAAAACGCATTGATTTATTGACCGAGTTCGGTCTCTGTCACATTATGTAATTACACAGACAGGCAGGTGTGATACTTGAACACATGCCATGTTATGATGTCTGTTGATTGCAAAATGTTATACACAAAAAATGAGCATGTATTTACAAAACCCAACATCTCTATATATACACACACAATGAGCCGTTAGGGCGGCATCTGCAAATGAACCAGCCGTTACACTTGAGTGCACACCCACCCGCTCTGACTGGGTTCGGTATCCCGGCTGCCTCGTTTCGAGGGAGGTAAACCGAAGAACAAAATATTGCACTTTTGATTTGCGATTATACGCTTATAATTTTGTTTATTTGTTTTTTTCATAATCAGCAATGCATATTATATGTCATGAAGAAGTGATAATTGTGTTTTAATTTATGTTTGATTTTTTGGTTGCATGTGACCTTTAAGACAGAACACTTCAAGGTTACCAATGTAAAGATATCCAGGAGCACCGTTCGTCGAAGTTTAAGGGAAGCCGGACTCCTCTGTAGGCGCTGAGAAAGAACTGTGATATATACTCATGCCAATAATGGTTGTCACCCCTTCAATTTTTTTTATTGGAGAGGGGGGAGGGGGTTGTTGTGGGTATTATAGTTATAGTCGTTTGACGAATATGCTGTGGGACCTCTCCAGTGTTGAAAACAATGACCAATCAGAGTTCTACTAACCTGAAGTTCCAGCCACAAGCGCTAACATAACCAAATGCAATTTAATCCCCCATTTTGCAGAAAAGCTTTGATTTCATTCAGATGTGGGATGCTGTAGTCTTGATCGAGACTGATTAAGTGAAACATCAGCTTGAAAGCAACGCTGCACTGCCAGTTTGTCATCCACTGAACCCTGTCCTACAAACCCTTCCTCTGTCGGTCCATCCACCCATCCATCCATCCACCCATCAATGCATGCATGCACTCATCCACAACCGTAAAGCAAAGGTAAAGCAACGCTGCACTGCCAGTTTGTCATCCACTGAACCCTGTCCTACAAACCCTTCCTCTGTCGGTCCATCCACCCATCCATCCACCTACTTATACATGCATTCATCCATCCATGCATAACCGAATATAACATCTATATGACTGAACAAAGCTCACATCTATTTTATTAATACCCTGTGACATTTGACAGTATTTTGTCAATTGTTTTGTGGCTTAATATTCATGGCTTAATGTAACAAAGCCAGGAGATCACTGCTCACATCTTGGCATCTTGGTAGCTCCGGGTAGTGGCAAAAATACTCCAGACATACCCATGGGCAGGCGCTGGAACTGTTTACCAGAACCCAAACACACAAACCGTTATTTTGTCTCAAGGATCAACCCATGGAACATCGTCTGTTGTTGTCATATTGTTTTATTCAGCAAAAAGCCTTCAGACCAAACTCATACAAAACCTGCACACTTCAGATTTACACTGCTTTGTAGAATTATTATTATTATTATTATTATTATTATTATTATTATTTGGAGGATATCTACCACCCCGATGTTCAATATTAAAGTATTCAATAGTTCATATTATGATCCATATAATGCTTAAATACTGAATACTGGGGTGGTCCTTAACTTTTGTTGTTGAGTATATTTAAATATTTTACAATGAAGGTAGTCCTAGATTCGGGGAAATAGTATTATACACAGAAGAAGCTCATTTTTCTTCAACAGTGAAGTAGACTTAAGGACTTTTTTACTAAATCTTTCATTATATTTCATATCTGCCAGTGAAAAAGGTTACCTTAACTGAAACATCTTCCAATTAGTTAGAATAAACTGTTTATAGTGAGAATGCCATTTGCAGTTTGCGTGAAAGGATATTTGTCGGTCTATGGTCTTTTTCATATTTACTGACTAATACTGATGAAGCGACACAGAATACCAGAATACCATCATAACAAGTTGATCAACAAACCTTTACACTAGATCTATGATTTGTGTACCGATCTAGTAATATGCAGACCACAGGGGTGTCCTCCCATTTGTGAGAACTCCCAGTTGTGAGACACATTAATTAATGGTTGAGTGCACATAGGTGGTGTTTCCACATCCCTACAATGAAAGTGGGAGCAGCCCAGCCCAGTACCCACAGGAGGCATAGTTCATTGATGAGTTGACTAATGAAATAGATTATCGAACATTTTATTTACAAAGAAGAAATAGTTCATTAAATGTTTTATTTATTCAGAAGAATATGTAATTATAATAACACATTTTTATTGACTATTATGAAGTTTGAAAGTCATTTTGGTTTAAACATATTTTATTATCATTTATGAAAATGAATTGGGATTGGTGAGCAAGCATTACTGCTTATGTTAACACCGCTCCCATGCAACAT